AAAGATTAATAGTAACTCCACTACATCTACATGCTCAAGAAATTTGTGCTGCCTCTCAATGAAATTAGGATCATGACAGGGACCCAGGTTTGGGTGATGCAAAGGAGATGAATCCAATTTTGGATACTCAGAAATGATAATCCCAATAGCTATCATTTTTACTATTTGGCATGCATTGTTCTAAATATTTTACATGTATCAAATCATAAAATCCTTACCACAGCCCCACAAAGACAGAACTCTGATAGGTTGTCACCATGTACCAGGTGAGGCCCAGGGTGCTTAAGCCATATGCTCAAGACACACAGGTAACAGACAGCAGAGCGGGGACTGGAATTAAGTCCCACTGTCTTTAGAGCACCTGCTCCTTCTGATTACTTCAATTTTCCGTTTGAGCAAACATTCAAGTAGTTCAAAAACCCAAATGATATCAAATGCTATTCACATACAAGTCTTGCTTCCAACCGTTTCCTCTCTTCCCTAGTTTGTCTATGCAAATACCTGGAGATAGAAATGCAAAAATCCACCCATGTTTGACACTGTTTCTGCCTTATTTTTTTTATCCCCTTTGAACTGAGCAATAGACCTTGGAAATCTCCCAATGTAATACATAGAGAACCCCCCCATTCCCTCCCTCCCTCCCTTCCTTTTCTTTTTAACAGTGCATTCCATTTTGTGAATGTACTGTACATAGTTTCCTTAGATAGAAACTAGGTTGCTTCCTAACCTTTGTCTTTATAGCCAATGCCACAGCAAATTACCCAGCACACATGTTATTTCTATGTCTTCAGCTATATTTGTAGGAACAATTTCCAGAAGTGGGATTTTATAGGTTGGAGAGTAAATATAGTTGTAATTTTGATAGATATTTTCAATAGAAACTGTAAACAAGCTATACTTCTAGTGTTAATGTATAACGATTGAGGGTACACTTTTAACTCCTCTGCTACACCCCAGAAAGAGCTACCAGGAAAATTTTCCTGTATTGCTACTAGGTAGATGAGAATGAAGACAATGAAAATGGGGAGTGAGGACAACGCTGAGTTTACAATTCAATATTCAGAAAAACCTTATAGGGAAGATGCTACATTATTTACAGAAATGAGTTCTGAGGTACAGAAAATTATGTACCTTGCCTGAGTTTATATCCTAGTAATTGGCCAAGTCTAGATCTGAACACACATCTTAGGCACTATGATTCTTACCTGTCAAATACTAGGGTGTTAAAATAATTTAATTGTTCCCTGTGGTCTCTATTATACAAAAACAAATTTCTATTAAAAATTGGAAAATTGATATATGCATATTATATCTATACTAATAAAAGCCTAGGTGGCCCTCGCGTATGACACCACTACAAGATGGCCACCACAAGATGGCCACATGCACAGCGGAGGTGGGGCCTGGCAGCCGCTCCGCACAGTGAGGCCTGGGGGTCCTGTGGCTCTGCCACCTTGCACGGAGGAGGCGGGTCATGGCAGGAGGGCAGTTGTGGGCGATCAGGCCAGCAGGAGAGTGGTTAGGGGGTGATCAGGATGGCAGGCAGAAGCAGTTAGGGGTAATTAGGAAGGCAGGCAGGCAAGCAGTTAGAAGCCAGTGGTCCTGAATTGTGAGAGGGATGTGGGCGATCGGGCCGGCAGGGATCGGGCCTAAACCGGCAGTTGGACATCCCCTGAGGGGGTCCCAGATTGGAGAGGGGGCAGGTTGGGCTGAGGGACAGTCCCCCTGAATTTTGTGCACTGGGCCACTAGGCAATATATATGTATATATTGCTGATATGCAAAGTGTCCCCTCGGGAGTTCGACCTGGAAACTGGGAGTATGATCGCTTGCTATGACATGTGCTGACCACCAGGGGGTGGCGCGGAATGAAGGAAGGCCCCAGCAGGCAACTAGCAGCTGGGGAAGGAAGGAGCCAGCTGGCAGCCAGAAGGAAGGCCCCGGCCGGCAGCCAGAAGACCCCAATTGGTCCTGATCGCTGGCCAGGCCTAGGGACCTACCTGTGCATGAATTTTATGCACAGGGCCTCTAGTTTACATGTAATACATATTAATCAATTCAGTCTATCATCTCTCTATTTGAATTTCAGGTAATTGTTGTTTCTTTTCTTTTCCTTAAAAAACGTAATAATTTTTCTTGAGTGTTGTGCCATAAACTGAAGAGCAAGCATTAGTTAAAAATGATGCTTTTCCTAGACTTCTGATTCATATTGTAAAATGAGTCACATGGTATTAATGGTATTTATAAATGCCACAGGGTGTACTCTATTGCTTGTTAGGCAAAAATGGTAATGAACATAAACTCAAAATAAGCTCTTTATAGTAATTCCTCATTTGGATATAACTTATCCTGGTTTCTACAACTTATCTAGAAATGCTTTAAATATACATATTTTTGTGAGAACTAGCTTTAATAAGCTAACTTCAAGAGCCTTTATTATGGTTTCTGAAAATATTCTACTGTTTCACTGCATAGAATAAAACAAAAACATCAATCCCAAAAATGAACCACAAAATCAATATTCTGCAGTCTTTTTATGGGCTGAATCAAATTGAGGCTATATAATTTAAGGCCTATCAATACCTTTAGTGTTGGCACTAATTCATTACCATTTGGAGATGAAGAAACGATCTCATTTCACTTGGAAACCAATAATTATGTGTTTGTTTCCATGATGTAAATATTCCCAAATGGGTTAGCTCACCACCAAAAGGATTCCATTCATGGCTACAATTGGCATTGACTTTCCTGGAACTGTTATGGAGGATTAAATAGGATATGAAGGCTTTTGAAACACATTAATATTATATATATATCGCTGGATAACACAAACAACATACAGGCCAGTATCTCTACTTAGTCCCAATCAATGCCCACATATTGGTTGTCAAGCTTGTTTGGCCTACAGATGCACAGTGTTCACCACAAAGGGTATTTTAAGATAATCTGAATCAATATTTAAAGGAGGGAAAACTTTATAGTTAAAAAACTTCATATTTCTGCCTTTAGTTGGAAAAGCTGGAGTTGTAGCAAACGTGGCAGATTCAGGGAGAACTGAGGAGATGTAGCCTAGTCCTGTTTGGACAAAGATTTGCTTTGGGTTCACCCCAGTCACAACCACTCCTATTGTATTGCCAACATCAAGGCTGTTTGTAATAAAGCAATAGGTCTCTTAAACGTCAGACCTCTTCAAGAGAAACAAAATGATGCCCAGTGGCATGGCTCAGTAGTTAATCATGGACCTATGAACCCTGTGGTCATGGTTCAATTCCTGTCAGGGCATATGTTGGGGTGTGGGCTCGATCCCCAGTAGGGGGTGTGCAGAAGGCAACCAATCAATGATTATCTCTCATCAATATTTCTATCTCTTTCTCCCTCTCCTTTCCTCTGTGAAATCAATAACCATATACATATAAGTAAGAGAATGAGAATATATTCTTTTCTTTCAATCCTCCCTCTCCTTTCCTCTCTGAAATCAATAACCACATATATATATAAGAAACAGAATGAGAATATATTCTTTTCTTTGAATTGGTCTGTTTAGTTCATTTAAATGACCTGCCTAGGAAAACAGACTGCATATAGCATTATGACCCTGCTCTAAATGTGTGACTACTCTGTTTCTATATGTGAAGAAATTTACTAGGTAACTTCTCTGAGGATGACAGAGTTAGTGTTGAGACTGGACAGAGGGGCTCTGAAGGTTAGTCTTATGCCTCATAAATACCTTCCCTTTCACGTCGCCAATGTATCATCAATATCATTATATTATTTAAAAAAAGACTTCCAAAATGAATGATAAAATTATCTATGACATATTCTATGCAACCATTGCTTTATCACATGAAAGCTCTCTAAGGGCAGGAGTTTTGTTCCTGAAAGTTTGGAACAGGGCCTAGCACACAGTAGGTGCTCAATAAACATGTGTTGCATGAATAGTAACTTTATATTTCTCACTGTGCTGAGTTTCTACTGCAGTTGTTTCTCTAGAGCTATGCCCCACAGATCTTTACGGGCTCTGAGCCCTAGGAAGCTGCAGTGTGACTTAATTACTGGGATTAGTGGGTTCATTGTTTTCTGCCATCTGATTTGGCCACAGGGAAGCACCAGGCAGGAGACTGTTGGGAGGTAGGAGAGGGAGGTTGCATATTTAAAACCCTGGTTCCTTCCCTGGGGGCTCACTTCACTGAAGGTCAGAGCTCCTGCCCTGCAATCCTCTCCACATTCCTTTTCTGTATTGAAAAGGAATTGCCAATAGCAATTGGCATAGTATTGCCTGTATTGCCATAGCCTCTGCCTCCTCTCACTTCTACAAGCAGATGGGTGGGAGCAGCATCCCTCCTTTCTAGCCCCAGAGCAAAATACTACCCCTACCAAGCTTTGTAAATACAGGTGTTCCCCACTTTTCAAAAGTTCACTTTACTTCCACTTTACTTGAAGAGAGACACTACATTATCACCTGCTCTCCTAACCAAAAGAAAGGAATCTGACTGAAGGAATGGGAAGATAAGACACTTTAGCTTTTCTTTTAGAAAGGGAAAATACTAGTAGCGTTTGTTTTTCAGTGAGCCTCTGTAGAGACAGTGAGGCGCCTAGAGCAGCAACTGTGGTAGCCTCAAGCTCCTTCCCAGGACCCATACCCAGAATCTCAGCATCCCGCCACCCTAGCTTTGAACTGTGTGTGAGAACATCTGTGCTCTACCTCTGTGTATTCTGTGCGTCCTTTAGCAGATATGTCCTAAAATAATGGCTTTTCTGCTTTACTCCATTTCGGTTTACAAAGGGCTTTGTGGGAAGGTTCTACTCTTGGGTAGCGGGGGAGACCTGTTGTACTGAAATAAGACTTTCCCGCAATTATCCAACTCATGCCATGGGTAACACACGCATCACAGAGTCTGCTGGAGACAACTGATCCCTCCCCTCCGCATTACAAAACAACAGAGAAGCAGTGCTTCATGAAACAATAGTTTTCACCTTTCCCAGTAACTGAGAGATCTTCACCTGTAAATGGCTGAGGCCGGGTGAGAGCCGGTGTCGTAGCTGGCGCGCACGCGTCCCCGGTAGAGCTCTACAGCGATGTGGTCCTTGTCCCCCTTGTACAGGAGGATCCCACTGTCTTCATCTGTAGCAATCTAGGGGGAAGGACACTTCCGTTAGTAGGATGGGTCGTCACCCAAACACATTTCATCAAAAAGAAATAAGCTGCTTAGTGAAGTGTTATTTCTAAGCTTTATGTTTTCCTTATGGCTATGAGAAAATACAATACTGTACGTTGAAATCATGACTTGAAAGATGACCTAGTCTAAATTACTTCCTTGCAAATAAATTCCTAAGGAACTTTAAAGATACATTCATAAACACATTTTTACTCTTCCTGTACATATGGGCAATGCCAAAGCTTCAAGATGCATGTCCCAGGAAATATGCAAAAACAAGGAATTTACATACCTAATTTACACTTCGGAAAATTAAAGCTGGAAAATATTTTCCACAGCATTAGAGTGCACAATATCTAACGGAAATCAAGCTTTCCTCCTTAGCTATCAACTATATTTTCTCAGCAGAGAATGATAACGTCTAATCAGGAATAAAAATGGTGGTGTTTCTGCTCTGTTGAAAAAGAACAATAACATGCACCTACGTAAACACCGCTGCCTGCGCTTGCACTTGGAGCTTTTCACTCACCTGCTCGCCCTGCTTCTGTAACGGACGGTATTTACGGCATATGTGAAATGCGACTGCGCTGATCAAGGTCGACTTTCATATTTCATATAAAGAAGCAAATTCTTTATAGTGATGGCATGAGAAGAGGGAAATCTCTCTTTTTGTCCTGCATTCTGGCTTTTAAAGAAGCAGTTCTGTTAAAGTTAGGACCTAAGCCCAAACAGCACTGGGCACTTCTCATAACAATCAATGTGGCTCTGCTGGCAGCCAGGGAGACCGGCCTTTTCCTTAAGAAGGCCTGGCTGCCTCCCGGGGTTCCATTCCCTGTGACTTCTAAAGAACGCCCCGCCCCTCCCTGGGTGCCAAGGTAAACCAAATGCAGAGTGGGACCGATAGCAAACAGGCTAAAACCATTTGAACTCAAAACATATAAGATATTTTATTTACTGGATAAAACTAACCTGCCCCCTGTCACCTACAGGTATTACCACTAATCTACTCTCACCTTGTCTACAGGGCACTGAATCACTGACTCAAAGGTAAAGGTGACTTGGTGGAAAGACTAGCAATAAATCTGTTTGTTAATTTCATGTCTATTCTCAAAGGTTTCCGGTTGAAAAGTTGTAAGACTCACACTGGATATTTTGCAGAGTGTAGAGCCCGGACTGCAGTCATAAAGATAAATGAATAAAAAGCCTTTACCCAAGCACAAAACAAAGATATATATTTTGTTACTGTGTGTGTGATTTTCTCAAACAAGTAATGAATAAAAATGCCCGGTTCCCACTTAGCTTAGAAAAACACAAATGTTGGCGAGAAGACTGACGCTTTCCCATAGGGGTGCTGTCTGTTATTGTGTTCTGCGACCTGTAACTGTCTATGTGACAAATAACATCACTACCAAACCACCACTGTGTTTATGCTGTAGAGCTGGATTTGGCTTTCAATGAGATCGGCTCTTGCTGGTGGGGGCGAACTTTACCTGAAGTGAGATGTTCGTTTGAGGCCGAACCTTGGCCGAAGGAATTTGAAGATAGGACTCCTTGTTTACAAAATTCACACTAATCAGCTTCTCACACTTCTCCCCCTGGTAGCCAGGCAAACACTGGCATATGGGCTCATTTATCCTGACGATGCACTGAGCTCCATTCTGACACTCAAAATTGTCACAGGGGCTGGTTCGAGGGAGGACCATGGGCGGAGAAAATTCACAGAACAAGCCACTAAGGAAAGAAGAGAAACATGCCGATTAGCTGTTACTGAATGGCCACTGTGCACGGAATCCCGTGAGCCCTAACTCTCCACACAGATGTGAACTTCTCTTCGCACCTGTAACCGTCGGGGCAGATGCACGTATAGCCGTTCACTGCGTCCGTGCAGTGGGCTCCGTTTTTACACTTGTGATCCTGGCAGTCGTCGAAATCCAAGTCACAGTGCTCGCCGATGTAGCCTGGGGTGCAGTCACATCTGTTTGAACAAGCAAGTAAATGATTTCAAACCCAAACAGTTGCATGTCATCTAGGAAAAGATGGCACCATCTTTAAAAAATGTACTTAGACACGCTCACAGAGCCTCAAACTAAAGGAAGCCTAGAACACAGCACTGGTCTGCAAAGCATCCCATGGCTTCTCACTGGGAACTGTCCGGGGAATGGTGATTTTTATCTCTTGACCAGAGTGAGTGTCCATAATCCAAATAAGAATAGAATCAGTGCACAGGGTTCCTTCTCTCTATCTTGTTTGCTTTCTCACTTTCTTCCTCCCTTCATCCCTCCCTCTTTCTGGCTCTCTCTCTCTCCTTTTTTCTTACAAGCAAATAGAACATTACTACAAAACGGGCCACATAAATACACAAAAATCATGTTCAAAGAGCTCTGAAATGCCGAGTTTACTTATTACATATTCAGTTCTGTTCCCTCCATTGGCTTTCTTGAGGAATCTACTTACAAAACATAAGAATACAAGTTAAAAGAGCTCAGAACACTCTGTATAGGTGGTTACTGTTCTAAGAATTTTCAACACTAAAACTGGAATTCTTCTGTGATGGAATACGGAACACTTGAATTACAAGCAAATAGAACATTACTACAAAACGGGCCACATAAATACACAAAAATCATGTTCAAAGAGCTCTGAAATGCCGAGTTTACTTATTACATATTCAGTTCTGTTCCCTCCATTGGCTTTCTTGAGGAATCTACTTACAAAACATAAGAATACAAGTTAAAAGAGCTCAGAACACTCTGTATAGGTGGTTACTGTTCTAAGAATTTTCAACACTAAAACTGGAATTCTTCTGTGATGGAATACGGAACACTTGAATTACAAGCAAATAGAACATTACTACAAAACGGGCCACATAAATACACAAAAATCATGTTCAAAGAGCTCTGAAATGCCGAGTTTACTTATTACATATTCAGTTCTGTTCCCTCCATTGGCTTTCTTGAGGAATCTACTTACAAAACATAAGAATACAAGTTAAAAGAGCTCAGAACACTCTGTATAGGTGGTTACTGTTCTAAGAATTTTCAACACTAAAACTGGAATTCTTCTGTGATGGAATACGGAACACTTGAATTACAAGCAAATAGAACATTACTACAAAACGGGCCACATAAATACACAAAAATCATGTTCAAAGAGCTCTGAAATGCCGAGTTTACTTATTACATATTCAGTTCTGTTCCCTCCATTGGCTTTCTTGAGGAATCTACTTACAAAACATAAGAATACAAGTTAAAAGAGCTCAGAACACTCTGTATAGGTGGTTACTGTTCTAAGAATTTTCAACACTAAAACTGGAATTCTTCTGTGATGGAATACGGAACACTTGAATTACAAGCAAATAGAACATTACTACAAAACGGGCCACATAAATACACAAAAATCATGTTCAAAGAGCTCTGAAATGCCGAGTTTACTTATTACATATTCAGTTCTGTTCCCTCCATTGGCTTTCTTGAGGAATCTACTTACAAAACATAAGAATACAAGTTAAAAGAGCTCAGAACACTCTGTATAGGTGGTTACTGTTCTAAGAATTTTCAACACTAAAACTGGAATTCTTCTGTGATGGAATACGGAACACTTGAATTACAAGCAAATAGAACATTACTACAAAACGGGCCACATAAATACACAAAAATCATGTTCAAAGAGCTCTGAAATGCCGAGTTTACTTATTACATATTCAGTTCTGTTCCCTCCATTGGCTTTCTTGAGGAATCTACTTACAAAACATAAGAATACAAGTTAAAAGAGCTCAGAACACTCTGTATAGGTGGTTACTGTTCTAAGAATTTTCAACACTAAAACTGGAATTCTTCTGTGATGGAATACGGAACACTTGAATTACAAGCAAATAGAACATTACTACAAAACGGGCCACATAAATACACAAAAATCATGTTCAAAGAGCTCTGAAATGCCGAGTTTACTTATTACATATTCAGTTCTGTTCCCTCCATTGGCTTTCTTGAGGAATCTACTTACAAAACATAAGAATACAAGTTAAAAGAGCTCAGAACACTCTGTATAGGTGGTTACTGTTCTAAGAATTTTCAACACTAAAACTGGAATTCTTCTGTGATGGAATACGGAACACTTGAATTACAAGCAAATAGAACATTACTACAAAACGGGCCACATAAATACACAAAAATCATGTTCAAAGAGCTCTGAAATGCCGAGTTTACTTATTACATATTCAGTTCTGTTCCCTCCATTGGCTTTCTTGAGGAATCTACTTACAAAACATAAGAATACAAGTTAAAAGAGCTCAGAACACTCTGTATAGGTGGTTACTGTTCTAAGAATTTTCAACACTAAAACTGGAATTCTTCTGTGATGGAATACGGAACACTTGAATTACAAGCAAATAGAACATTACTACAAAACGGGCCACATAAATACACAAAAATCATGTTCAAAGAGCTCTGAAATGCCGAGTTTACTTATTACATATTCAGTTCTGTTCCCTCCATTGGCTTTCTTGAGGAATCTACTTACAAAACATAAGAATACAAGTTAAAAGAGCTCAGAACACTCTGTATAGGTGGTTACTGTTCTAAGAATTTTCAACACTAAAACTGGTTCCCCTCTTCCTCCCTTTTTCCTCCACTTTATTTGCCTATACTGTCCACTATTTTCAGCTCTAACTCATTGGAGGAGTTGAGATGATAAAAGCGCTATCTATGTTGTCAAATTTACTAGAAAATATTAAACAATTTCCAAATAAATAACATTTTAAAAATTAATGATAGAGAATAAAATGCATTTTTATGAAAAAATGTGTTAACACTGGATACCCTAATCCATAATAAACCCAGAGAATCATTATGGCAGAAAGGGGTTGACCTAATGGAGTGAGACAGGGGAGCTGACACAGAATCCCGGGGCCAGTCTCTTGCACAGCTTCTCGGCCTGTTCCTGCTGGTGGAGGGAGGGTGGGGCTCAGCTGCTCTGATGCTGAAGGACCAGGGGTAACATACAGGTGATGTTCTTGGAGCACTTCCTCTGTGCCAGACCGCACCCTAACCACTTGGCTATTGTGGATTCACTGCATGC